TTGCGCGGACGTAGGAATATGAAATTTCGCACACATATAGTTCGTATAGAGAATGAGCGCAAGATACTAATATTAAAAAATACATTAAATCAATAATAAACCATTACACACTACCATGTATTTGACATACACACGCATAGAAGTATAGCTATTATAATTTAAATTATTTATGGTCGAATTTCAAACACTGAACGATCACTAGTAGTAGACTAATAAATAAAACAGTTTGATATAAATGCATATTTTTTACATAAAGTATATATTAAAACAATATAATCAAATTAACAATTCCATTTTATAGACGAAGACCACCTATGTAAACAATAAAATTCATGTAAAACTACTCCAAAATATACAACTAAATAATATATATTTAATGTCATAACGAGCTAGAGCCCAGTGTTTATGACAGGAGTAATTTAAAAAATAAATAAATTATAGAAACAGTCCAGTCCGGTAATTCTTATTTCTCATAATGACTGCTTGCTTCCACCGTGTGTGGGTTATGACCATAATTAATCAATACAATGGCTCTGAACATTCTCTCTTTCATGCAGTCACATACCTACCTATGTGTATACTAGTTACATGTTTGTTTGTTTGTAATATTTTATCGTATAATAGATACTTGCTACCTACATAGTATATAAAATAAAACAAAAATGTTAGATACATATATTACTAATATAATATTACCACAGATAACATAATATTACATACAGATACCCCATCCCATACAAGAAAATGGTTCCTTCCTAACTCGGGCTATTCTTCGGGCTATATATCGCCACCGTAGCCGCTAGATAGATCTGAAGCAGTTCGGATTACTAGTAACAGTAACAAAGCATGAAAATAGATGGCAGTCAATTCAGTCTACATGACATCTGTTTTGCAAAGATATGTATATAATAGATATGTAGGTAACTGTATTGTGTACCTCATTAGGGACGATTCAAGATTCAATGTAAATGTGTAGGTATAATATCGTTAGCCGACACTCTGCAGATATGGCTTATGTGCCAATGTATATACCTATTGTGTTATGGTTTATTTTACATTCCATGCCTATTTTTTTTGATATGTTGTAACGCGTCTGCGCTATACGTATATGATTTTGATACGTTTATTTACGTATCAAAATCAGATTTTTTATTTCAATCGTTATATGTGAGACTGATTTTAGCTACAATTAATTTACTGGTATATACCTCATGTATTCTACGATGTACCCCTCTTTTACCTAATGAGAATTCCGCTATATCTTATATATAAATTTTGTATCACAGTGTTAGTTGCCATATTACGAACATTTTGATGAAATTTGATATGTATACTTCCCAGGTCTGAGGTAGGGTTGTTATCTATTTTTTACCCCTAAGTCATAGTGGCCCCGAAAAAATATTTTTTTGTATTATGGACAATTTTTTTTTAATTTATAATGTTACATTGAAAATACATACACGCCTAAATTTTCACCCGTCTTTCACCAACCCTTATTTTTAATAGCGATATTCTTACAAATATTATAAATGCTAAAGTAACTCAGTCTGTCTGTTTGTCTCGCTTTCACGCCAAAACTACTGAACTGATTTAATTGAAATTTGGTAGACAGATAATGTAGACCCTGAGAAAGGCTACTTTTTAATGCGAAAAAGTATTGAAAGGGGAAATGAAAGGCTATATGAGGATTTCGTAATTTTTAAAGTCAGATCTTGTAAGATTAAGTGAACAGGGTCGGTCTAGGTTTTTCATTATTAGAAATGTGTAACGGGGTAACACGTTATTTAGTGCGCAATTGTGTATATTACAATAAAATTTAACGAGAAAATATTATAATGATATCACTGGGACACTCATTGCCTTACTACTATATCGTCTTAACTTTCTGGAAACACGAGAGGCGCTATCCTATTGGTCGGTCGGCGCGGTTACCGCGCGTAGATGAGTAGATGAAGTACTTAGACGAGTCTCACGGCGCCGCAGCGTAAGTACTTACTATACATACGTAGTATACATATGGGTATTACAAATGTTTTTATTACTAGTAATATTACTCTGTTATCTAAGCAAGTAATGTGTGCTTATTTTGAACTTGATAACATTCTGAATTACTCGTATATCTTTCAATATCTTTAGCGGTATAAACCAGGTTATGTACTACTACTAGTATTGATAGTGAGGGATAAAGTTGATGAACAAAAATAAAACAATATTCGTATTAAAAATATATTCATCTAATATTTTTGGCATTATTTTTAAGTTTCTTCCAAATATAAGGGGTCTGACATGGGGTGTTATGTACCTACATTAAAAAATACTTTTTGAAATGTATGAAAGAAACGTATTGTATGAAATTTTTGAAATGTGTGAAATGTATGCACCTACATTAAAAGATAATTTTTGAAATGTATGAAAGTAATGTATGTACCTACATTAAAATATAATTTTTGAAATGTATGAGATGTATGAAAGAAATGTATGTACCTACATAAAAAGTTCATTTTTGAAATGTATGAAATGTATGAAAGAAATGTATGTACATTAAAATATAATTTTTGAAATGTATGAGATGTATGAAAACAATGTATGTACCTACATAAAAAGTTCATTTTTGAAATGTATGAAATGTATGAAATAAATGTATGTACCTACATTAAAAGATATTTTTGACATGTATGAAATGTATGAAAGAAATGTATGTACCTACATTAAAAGATAATTTTTGACATGTATGAAATGTATGAAAGAAATGTATGTACCTACATAAAAAGTTCATTTTTGAAATGTATGAAATGTATGAAAGAAATGTATGTACCTACATTAAAATATAATTTTTGAAATGTATGAGATGTATGAAAACAATGTATGTACCTACATAAAAAGTTCATTTTTGAAATGTATGAAATGTATGAAATAAATGTATGTACCTACATTAAAAGATAATTTTTGACATGTATGAAATGTATGAAAGAAATGTATGTACATTAAAATATAATTTTTGAAATGTATGAGATGTATGAAAACAATGTATGTACCTACATAAAAAGTTCATTTTTGAAATGTATGAAATGTATGAAATAAATGTATGTACCTACATTAAAAGATATTTTTGACATGTATGAAATGTATGAAAGAAATGTGTGTACCTACATTAAAAGATAATCAAAAAGTTCATTTTTGAAATGTATGAAATGTATGAAAGAAATGTATGTACCTACATTAAAATATAATTTTTGAAATGTATGAGATGTATGAAAACAATGTATGTACCTACATAAAAAGTTCATTTTTGAAATGTATGAAATGTATGAAATAAATGTATGTACCTACATTAAAAGATATTTTTGACATGTATGAAATGTATGAAAGAAATGTATGTACCTACATTAAAAGATAATTTTTGACATGTATGAAATGTATGAAAGAAATGTTTGTACCTACATTAAAATATAATTTTTGAAATGTATGCACCGTACAATAACAATACACGTTAAACATCATACCACAGAGTCATACGCAAGTTAAAAACAAACTGCTATGATATTAATGAGAAAGGAAAATAAACTTTATGGTATTCGAGTTAGGGTCGATTTCTCTCTTTTTTTTAAACTATTTTAATCTTACCAGTTGCCAGTATTCGAAGACAGCTACGATTCGTACTCGATATTTTAAATTATTATGTAATCGATTTTTCAGTACAAATGTAAATAACCAACGACACTAATAATGTACTACTATATTCCGTTCTTTGAAACGGAATACTGCTATACTTAATACAAAATAATGAAAATTTACTGTTCACAACGACTCATTAAAAGCATCATCGAATAATGCGCTGTAATAAAATCCTGTTATCGATTATTAAAAAAATCGATAATACATGTATTTATTTTTAATATGACAACACTTCATACATAAGTATTATTGGAAATAGTATTATTTGCTTGTTCGGCTATTTTTAATTTACTTAAACTTTTTTTATATGTTTAATTTACAATAATAATATATTAAGTGCTTATTATTGGAAAATATAAAAAAGACATTTAATTAGGCCGATACAAATGACAACAATGCCATCTATGAAAGCATTTTGAAAACATTGAGCCCCGTATTAGCACTGATTAAAGTGTAATTAAGTACTGGAAAATAACAAAATGAGTAAATATATGAAAATTACTTTTCTAAACGCATTATTTCATTTTAACATGTATATATATTTTTTTAAAAATGGATTAAACTATTTTGAAAACACAGTTTTGTTTTTTAAAACGTTTGCAAAACTATGAAGAATTCCATCGATACCAATCACGCCATCTATATGCAACTTTTAGCAATAATAATGGCTATTTCCTCATTGAGTGCCACTGATATTACTAACAAACGCAGTAGTTTGTGAGTATGAATGGATTGATGGATGTTTGTTACTCCTTCACGCAAAAACTATTTTTATGAAACTTTACAATAATAAAGTTTATACATCAGAATAATACGTAGGCTATAAATTTCACGCAGGTGAAACCGATCACAGACTTAGTTACGAAATAAATTAGTACAAAGATAGACTTATCTTAAACTTCAAGTCCACACAGATATCATCATTTATATTATTCTTCAAATTCATAAAATCTTTATGATTAGTTTGGTGGTCCCTGGTAAAATTCATCTGGGTGGTATCACCTAACTCAGCTGCAAAGCAGCTAGCATTGTAGGAAGTATTCGACTGAATGGTGAGATAAGGCAGTGAAATTACATGGTATATATTTTAGTCCTCCAAACTTTAGTCATGGTACATAACATCATAGTCCTTCGGAGCGGCATCGCATTAATGGTACAGTGGTTAGATATATAATAACGTGATGTGAATGGTACTATTAATGTATATGCTATGGGATGTTAGCTTGTTTACCATTTCAATTACATAAACTTCCAAATTTCGAACTACCATTATAACAGTTTAAATTAGTTGTTAGTGTTCGGACAAGTTCCTAAGCTGTTTGAAGTGTGTTACGCAGACGATCCTCAACTCGATGCACAAGTACCAGCCGAGGTTTCACCTGGTGAGAGCCAACGACATCCTCAAGCTGCCCTACTCCACGTTCAGAACGTATGTCTTCAAGGAGACGGAATTCATCGCTGTGACTGCGTATCAGAACGAAAAGGTATGTCGCTATCCAATCTCAGTCTTAACTTATATTATAAATGCTTTACTTCTTTATTCATTTGTTATGCTTTTAGATCATGAAATTTACAGATGCATAGCATTTGAATTATATAAAGGAATGTGCTAGTTTTTATCTTGGTTAATCGTGGTTATCTGGACGAAGCCACGGGTAAAAGCGAATAGTAAAATTCATAACCTGTAATGAACAACAATAGAACTAATTACAATAGAACAAAATTTATTATCTTTTAATTTCTTTTAAATATATACGTAAAAGTAGTTATTTTATATCACAATATAAATAGTAATAAGATTAAATGTGTGATGTACCTACATAAAAGATGAAGTAAAAAAAATATAGTAATGAAATCTTTTGTTCTAGATTACACAATTGAAGATTGATAACAATCCTTTCGCAAAAGGCTTCAGAGACACTGGAGCTGGCAAACGGGAGAAAAAGTAAGTATCTAACCTTTGATAATATAATTTTTTTACACAATGACACGCCATATGGCGTCAGCTACTAATAGGTATATTATCCGTCATGATGTGATGAAGTGCTCAATAAATAACGTAAGTGTCTATGATGTCTCTATAAATAACTATCGTATATGTACAATAGACCAGTATTAAATTTACATAGCTTTTACACCTGTTTCCCAAAGTCTACCGCATATGGAATAATGTAAGCGACAAAGTCGAACAAAAATTCATATTACTAGAAACTGGTTGTCAGGTTCGTTAACTTTTGATTATCTTTGTCTACTCAATATGTGTTACATACTTGAAGATTATTATTTGTTGATAGTTTAATATCAAGTTGTTGTAGTCACTTACGTCAGTTTGATCAATATTAACTTCATAATTCTATAGATTTAACCAAACAAATAGAAACACTCACTTAAACGCTAATTTAAACTATGCATCACAACTGCCTCTTTAAAGGAAAAATGTTACTTATTATTAAAATGTTGTATAACAAATCTATTTGTCTCTAATCATAAATTAAATTATCTGACTGATTGATTAACTAATCGGTCATGGCAAAACTGCTGAGTTATGTTACGAATTGATTTTACAAAAAACCTACAATTTTGTAGATGCAAAACTACGTGAAACGACTAGCTCTTGTAAATATACGAGGCATTGTCATATAATTAATTGTAATCAACACGACTAGTGTAACTTTGATCATAAAAAAACAAAACAGTATTATCGTACGCAATTACGTTAATTTTAATTTCACAACAATATTACGTGTAGATACTGAGGAGCGTTGTAGGTGGTATCCATAATCTAAAGGCGAGCGAAAGATTAACGACTGTAAAAAACTGCCGACTATTTAACTAAAGTTAAAAGCTAACTAAATTAGCGTCCTATCTGTGAATCTTCAAATTAATTAGGCCACGAAGCGCAGACATTTCCGAACGTAGCGCTGCCAACACGCCCGGCGCCGTTCGAAATTCAAATTAAACCAATCCGGCGCCTCCTTATTCGTGTTCGGAGTTTAAACATGGCGAATAACGGCTCAAAATGGTGGAGTCATTCGACTTGGCGCTTTTTTCCAGCGTCTTTAGCGTGCAAGGGAGAAAATTGGATTTCCGCGATAAAATCAGCTTTAGTTTTTTTTTCTTCGCCGCATAATTTGCTAGCGCCCGCCGCGTAGGGATAGGTCGCCGTTCTGTTAACTTATTTGAAATTCGAAGGAGAACTCAATTAGTGGGTAAGCAGTAGATCTGTCGAGGAAGGCGCTTATTTAATACACGTAAAATTGAGAGGTGTTGTATTCTCTACAATTTGGTCGTAAATTCTTAAATTGTATTAGGTAATAAATAATAATATAAAATTCAAATGTCTATGGGAATTAAAAGCACAACGAATACCCAACCCTTTTACGGATATGGTCCGTGTTCTTGTGTTACGCTTAACCCAAACGGAGTTTTTATTTGCATTTTATTAAACATAGGTGAGTTTTCTAACACTCGGAAAACTCCCTCCGGCCGGCGTAACATATAAGCACATCCGAAAGCGGAAAGAATATTTAATTCCGTTAAACAACATTTCGCGCCGGATGGGCTCGTGGTGTGTTTCCGAACAGAGCCGGACGCTGGACTGGACTCATCTTTACAAAATGGCCGACGGAGGAAGTACGGGAAACGTGAGCGTTTTGATAAACGCCATAAATGGGGAAAACAAGAATACAGCAATAGGGGTGTCAACAGATTGGCAAAGAATTAACGTAATTAAATTTAAAGGACTTGTATCTATAACTATATCGTCCATAATGGAAATTATATTTTTTTTATTCTTCAATCCTACCCAGCTCAATATTAATAAAATTAATACGGAAGTAGGTAGTATCTAAATGCTTTAAAATAAAATAAAAATCATCAGAAACCATTTCAAAATAATGAAAACATTACGTAAAATACAACATAATATAGTTAAAATAGTTTTCATTTCTTTGCATTTATTGAGACAGTTCATAACTCTCAATGATGGCAATCGTATGAACATGTTAAATATATATAAACTGAGCTTCAGCTAAGAAAGGATTTTTCATTTATCATTTTGACAACATTAGGTAGGATATTTTGTTTGTCCAAAATAATAGGTGTTCATATCCACGCGACAACCCTGTAACACGTCGGGCATACCATCATTTTCCCCGTTGGTATTGTCTGTTACCGCATGCCTTCCGCCACAGCACCACAGGTACTGCTTTGATCCCGTTCAGTTCGCCGTTGCCGCACCCTTTGTTACCACAATGTAGCTCTAATTAAGACGACTAATTGAACTACGTGGTCAAACGAAGAATTACTCCATATTGAATCTGAAGTTATCCATTAATAATAATAATAATTGACACAGTGCCGTCTAGTTCCAAACTAAACAGAGTTTGTGGTATTGGTACTGTTCATAAGTATAGTTTAGAGACTAGCCCCCGGAGGTAACCTATGAGTGAGATATTTAGGTACTAAAGTTGAGCAAAAACTTATTTAGTTAGGGTACTAAACAATTTATAGAATATTGAAGATCAGTATTTTCTCCTTGAATGCTTCTCCACACTAAGCTATGAGCCACTTTGTATAGCCATAGCACATACATGCAGGCTTACCCATATTCAATCGTATTGATCTTAATATTATGTAATTTATTGTGCTCGTGATCGAAACTTTGTGTTTGTTGAAAATACAAATAAAATTCTTATCTATCTACATTTTTATTTTGTAACGCAATATGATAATATATAATATGACGAACGAACGAACGAACAATAGACGAACAGCCAGACCAATACAAACAGAGTAATCATGAATGTTTATTGGGCAGTGGAGATCGAATACGCGACTACCGGAAGTAAGATGGATGTTAAACCACTAGACTACCAAAGTCCAAACGCATTATTTAAATATGTATATGTAATACAAATTTGAAAATTCGATATGTAGAAAATACTACGATGTAGACTGATTATTTTACTATGTATAAATATATTTTTTTTATTGTTATTGATTGCAACTGTTGTCGTATACATGATCAACTAATGTCGTAATCGTCTTATCATCTTGTAAGTAATCGATAAATTTAGTGAGAAACGTGCATTGAGATTGTTTCAAGAGATGGGTTGCTAATGTAGCGTAATTAATCTTAAACGGAAGCGTATAAACCATTATATTATATGTAAAGAGTTTTTTATACAAATGTAGGTGAATTTAATGATATTATTTATGTGATTGCGAGTTTATTAGTAACTCTTTAGCAATTATCTTTTATAGTACTGAATTAGCAAACAAGCTGACATCCACCTAGTGGTAAATGTCATTTATCGCCTACATGAAGAGTGATAGTTTTCACCAGTTACGTCTATACTCTGTAATTTCATTGTCATATCTCATTTTCAAACAAAACACAGTTAGTACGTCTCATGTGTTGCTATTCCAGGGGAATAAGATCTTACATCTGCGTATCTTGTATTTTCACTGCTACATCTCTCCCTGTAATCGAAACAAACTTACAAAGATGCCGCTTTAGAGCTCAAATTGGTGAGGCAGAGGAACCCAAACGAATGACGTTGTATAATATGTACCTCTCATAAATCATGATGATGTTAGTACAAAAAGGAGTCACAATTACTTACATTACAGCATACATATAGCCTTCAGGGTGATGTAAGACGTACGCTATTTATTATCCCGTTTCATCGTGCTCTTGTTAACAAATTCGCGGGTCAATGGTAGCAACTATATAGAAATGTATAAAACCACTACGATATTCAGATGGAGAGCGAGATATCGAATTTATAAGTGTTCCTCATTTGACTACGGAATCTATAAAAATGGCAAACTAAGCGTGTATCATAAATTTTCCTTGGCAAAAAGACAAGAATCACAACACCTTATTAATATACATCCCTTGTCTCGCCGCAGAATAGCGTCGATAAAAAGCTTCCTTGCTTCCTTGGGGTTACCAACTAACCGCGTTGGGGGTAAAAATTTGGCAAAATTACAAGGCGGGCCACCCCTGTACCGACAGTTTACATTGTAACGCGAACACCCTAATGTGGACAGTTTAAATTAGGGTTGACAAAATTCTTAACAAAAATATGTCTTTACGACACCAAATATCTTATAAGGTAACTGGAAGTTACCTGCGACTTGCCTGCTTTTTGACCGCCCTCGTTGATTCCATCTTCATTTCAAATTTAATTGAGATCCGGTCAGCCAGTAGTCGCGTAAATGTTACGAACAGACAGTTAAACACACTTTAGCATTTGTAAGGATAACAAACATTATAAATGCGAAAGTGTGTTAATACATTTGTATTAAAAATAAAATGTTCTGATTATTAGCAGAAAAAGTTAATTGCTTTAAAATTGGAGTAATATAAATCTGTAAAAACCATGTTTAAATCGGTTCAGTTTTGTTTGAGTTTACATATTACAAACAAACAAACAAACATTAACAAAATAAATCTGTCTTCATTTATAACCGTAGTACCTATATATAATTTTTATTACGTGTACCATTTGTTTTTAAACGGATAGGCCGATTTAGATAATATTTTGTGTGTAGGATTTCTGAATGGTTTCAATCAGAATTGGATCCTGTAGGAGGCGCTTTTTTTTCGGTCAAGACGATTGCTGTGTTCGCTAGTATAAATATAACTTTAAACGCTACAGTTGATTAAATTAAAAACTACAACCGATTTCATATTACTGTGCCTTGTGTGTGTATGTCTTTAACGTAAATAAAAAAATTGTATATTTATCTATCCAGAAAATTACTAGTTTATGCCCTACATAAATCACCAATTTTATATTGCGCTTTTAAATACATGTTACAAATTTTGTTTGCAAAGGAGGACTTATCTACTCTTCCAGTCAACCCAAAAAACACATATTATATTACATTGTAGTTATATTACATTGTATTAAACATTTTCAAATTTTTTCTCGTCTAAGTTTGTAATTACATGCATTTAAAAATTTTGTAGGTAGCACTTTGTAGGTGATAACCCTAAATTATAAGGGTGGTGCAAATTAAATTCTATCAGTCGGCGATGAGACGAGTTAATAAAATGAATTTAGTGGCGGACCCCAATCAGTACCCTTACGCAATAGGATGAAGATACACGTTTAGGGTTTCGTAAAACAATGCGGATGTTAAACAGTTGTTTGTTTTATAGGGTGAGAAGGCAAATAATTGCTCTGGCATTTTGTTTCTCTTAGGGTGACCGGTTTAAAACATTTTCAATGAATTTTTTGGATCATATTAAAGAGTGAGAAAGCGGATTTTGTTGTGAGGAAAGTTAACTCTAGATCATCGAAAACGATTTGAATAAATCTTTCACTGTTTAGTTAGAACATTATTCTAGCGATATAGAACTCACAAAATTATGAGCACACGGTCGAAATCGGGGGAAGAGCTCTAATTTAATATTCGTTATTGAATTAGATTTAAATTCAACTATTTTATACTATTATATATACTAATATAGACATATACCTACTACTTTAGGAAATTATCTTTTTGAACAAGGATGTGCATGGCCTCAAACTCTGAAAATATACCATATAGTTAGAAGTTATAGACTTATCTCTCCTCTATGCATTAACAACTCTCCCTTTACATCCATCCACGTTCATATTGAGTATTTTCTTTAACTTGGTACTCGGTCCTCCACATGACCATACCAAGACAATCTGTTACCTCGCAACTTGTCTATTTCTTGCACATTATTAATTTTACACAATCGCAAGTAAAAAAACTTAAACATGGTAAGATGTTAACTATAGTAATAGAAAAATAGATATTTAAACCCTAAACTTCGAAAGGGCAAAAAGGCATCGCGGCAGCGGTGCATGGGTCAAATTTCGGTGCTATCATTAGAAGATGATTAACCTTTCAACGGCGGCGGGGGCCGCGGCGACCCATTACTGAAATGTCAACCATTTGACACCCCACACAATTGATTCGCCCGCTAAAGTGCAAACTATGTCATTTAAGAGTCACGCGAGTTCGTTTCTACATTTAGATTTTTGTATTTCATAAAAATAAAACAACATTTAATGATCTTCAATTCGCGTGATGATAGTAGCTATTAATGTTTAATTCTATTTGCAACTTTGCAGTATAACTGCATAGTCTGTGCTAAGGTAAAATTTGCAATAAAAATGGTAATTATCATGCAAGGATATACTTACTCGTAATTACATGGATTTCTTACAATGTAAGCAAATTGTTGTAATTAGTTGTTATATGAAACCAAATGTTAACTGGCTGATGTGTTGTGACTCATCCAAACTAATATTACAAAAGCAAAATGTGTTATTCTTTGGTTGTCATAATTTAAACAGCTAAACAGATCTTAATGAAATTAAACATGAACATAAATCACTGGGAAGGATATAGTCTATCTTTTAACCCAAAAAAATATCTTATAGGGGTGAAAATATGGAATCAAAGTTTATTACAGATGATATCGCGGTAAACAATTAGTTCTGGATAATTTCTGTGTCCTATTTAGAAATATATCAATGATCATACGGTGTTCAAAACGGCTTAAGATTTATATTGATGTAAGAAGATAATTTATGTCATAACATGTCCACGTTTCATGTATTGTATAACGTATTTAGTCAGAACCATTCAACAGAATTGTGAGATAGCTGACTGCTGTAACTTAGACACAACGTTCAGCCTCTACCGCATGGGCTGTAAAACTTAGAGTAGTGGTAGACTACATAATATTATCTATAAGTTAATTCAGAAAATCCATTCTTAGTAATTTCCTATATAATACAGGTAGTATTATGTAGGAATTTACTAAGAATGGATTTTCTGTAATTCTCACGGGGATAAAAGATAACAGATTCGCACGGGCGAAAATGCACTGCGACTAACAGTTAGTCGCCACTGATGCATATCTGATTTGGTATTCACACGCAGCAAATGACATAACTGTTCCTCTGAAAATAAACAGAATATGTCTTTCATATTTAAATAGTTTTAAATGATATTTTTGCCCTATTTCATTTCCTAAAATGGGATACATATCTATAATACATTTTTTATGAATGACATACTTCCTATTTATGACTAACGTATACCGTTAGTCATAAATAGGAAGTATGTCACCCTGGCGAGGAACCATTGAAGAATGATAGGATGACGATGAATTAAGCCATCAAGGCGAATAGAAAGAATTCATAGAGATAACTTACAGGAAGAATCGCGAGGTTGACCCGATTGACATATTGCTATCAATGGGGTTATACACAATTATTCATAAAATCCCTATTACTAACAGTCCCTCCCTCACACAGCAATTATGATTTTTCCAGAATATTTCTTTATTTAAGTATGAAACATGTCTGCCCAAGAAATGCGTCCTATAGATTTGCTATTGCCACTATGATAACACGAGTAGTTTGTCGGTGTACCGCAGGCAGGCGTTGCTGACGGCGCGTTCGGACCCTCGGGATGATGATGACGAACGACCTCTGGACGTGGGCGGACCTTCCAGCCCGCCTCCGCCAACTTCGTCCACGCAACATACCAGTAGCTGTAAGTACCCTATATAGCATTCTAGAACATTTTAGACTATATTAAATTACTAGTAAGTGCCGTTTACTACGTAAAATTATTGTATTTTGAGTAAAAGTTTTATTCAACGTGATACGTGATATTTCTTTCTTCTATTAGTCACAGTAAAGACTTGCCTATAAATTTTTGGGCTATTTCTAGCCTAAAAGAGCAATGATTTGAGCTGACGTCTTATTGAATTTTATATGTAATACAAGAAGTACATTTTATAAGTTTCTCCTCAGGTTAGATAGAGTTTTCTACTCAAGCTACTATTTACTATTCCTTGTAAACTATTTCTAAATATTTTAGGATCATAAGTCCATTAGATAAATATCGTTTAAACGCCTATCACCAGCTCAATATATAATTAATATACCGTTTAAATATTATTCCATGACAAAATGATATTGTTACAGCATGGTTTAGTTCAAGTGGTGGTGGCGGCGCAGACTCCGGTCCTGAAGAAGGCATCGAAGCGGGCTCCGACTCGTCGTGCTCAGGTGGCGCCCGAGCCTCCTCCCCTCCCGCGGGCCCATCCCGCCCGTCCCCCGCACCTGACGTGTCGCTCGGACCTCCGGTACAGCCGCCGTTACTCCCGTACCTCTATCCACCGTCGCTGTACCCGCCGCCGTTCTTCCCCCCGCACCAGATGCCGCCAGGTTTGCTGTTCAATCTGCATCCTTTACTGCAGCAGTACTCGCTACCGCCGCCCCCCGCGCCCCCAGCCCCTGCACCGGCGCCGTCGCTCACTAAAGCGCACAGGTTCGCCCCGTATGCTTTGCCAGGGCTGGGCTCAGCATTCGAGCAGGTGGCGCCACGCGCGCGAAGTCTAAGCTCGTCACCAGCGCGGCCCCGAGCGGGTTCACCGCCCACACGAGCTGCCTCCGCAGACCCCCCGCCCGATGCGCCAACCTCTACCACGTCCTCGACCCCGCCAGCATCTGACCTCAAAAGCATCGAGCGAATGGTCAACGGGCTCGACGTCGAAACCCAGGACTGACTCGTGACGTAGCCTTGTACATAGCGTGTATTTATATCGTAGCCTCCCGCTTCAAACCAAAAAGTCATCGGGGAATCGCGGAAGCGACGGGGCATTGTTTTGTATCGTTCCTATTTTGTTTTCCTTTCGAGTTCTATTCGGGTCGATATTCGTATACTGTTTGTAAATAGTTAAGCTTTATGATAGGTACAGTCAGGCGCGACAGAGGTGTCACACGGTGGCAGTTTGCTCGCAGGCTCATTTAGTCACTCACAGCACTCATTGGGTGTTTATACGCAGAGGATTACATGTTCAGAGTGAAATCTTTTCAGTTAGACTTCATTATATAATGTTGTTACCGTCATATAGAGTATAGGATAACAATGAACAATACTGTCGATATGACTCTTTTTATTTATGGAGTGGTAAAATTTTATTTCATAATTGTAAATCATTATTTGTTTGACTAATACCACTTTTTACATTCAAAATAAAAGCTTACACTCTGTAATGTATGTAGTCCTCAGTGATTTAACTATTAGACGAACATTTACGATAACCATACATATAGACACTCTCTTTCTACATATAGAAAATTCTCTTTGTTTTGCCAGCATCTATAGGAAAGATAAGTAAGTGTTCAACGTATTCATATTAAGATATACACAAAGTAGTATAGCTGATTTCAAATTAAAAAATATATATTAGGTTCAATCATGATAGTAGTAGCATGATCGAACCTAATATATAACTCGTTTTCTTATTCCACAACTATTTACGTAATCTAATATCTACTTCCTCTCCGAAGTTAAATTTGTTTGTACGTCCCTAAGTGTTTATATTATAGTTATCGTAAAATCGCAACAGTTAGTAGCAAGATTCCTAAACATACTTGGCCTTTACAATGTAATCAAAACCAAATTTCAATATTAATTTAAAATTTATATTATATAATTGGCCAACAAAACCTATATTTTTATTTGTTCAAAATTTGTTACTAGTAAGTTGATTGTTGATAGTTTAAAATTATAATAATAAGCATCACAGAAAATATTAAATGCTTCAAATATTTGAACTATTGTAAATTGTAAAATATTAACCTACTTACTGAATTTTTAATACTAAAGAGTATTATTACATACGGGAACTATTTTATGAAAAGAAATGGAAAGATTTTAAGTATACATATTTGTAGAAACATGACCTAGTTGTCACTAGTAAGAAATTTTAATAAATTGTTTGAGATTAGAGGCGTCCTATATATACTTAAGAGATACGTATTCACCAAGAGCATTCTCGTATATCTTCACCACACTAAAATATGATTACTAAACATTTGAATTTACAGGACTTCAAATTTTAAGTTTAATATGTTAGTAATGCAATAGAATTTTTGTTTATGCTCCCGGTCAATACGCATCATTATCTAAATAAGAAACGCCCAATATCATGGCAAAGGTTAGAAATATGCTGCTTACTACTATATATTTATCAAAGTAAGTTCCAAGTCAGGGTCTTGCTACTTAAGTTTTGCGTGAGATCCTACATCGAATAAATACCTATCCACGTGTAGTATCAAACACAGTAGATACTCATAGATACTCCACTGCAATAGTAACTAATAAATAGTGTAACTCCATCATCTCTCAACAAATATGTTTTAGATCTGATTTCTTAGTAAGAAATAATTTTCAAAGTATCGTTACTTACTTCCTTTATTAATTTTATATTATATATTCATTTATATAATAATACCTACCTAATGATTACCTCCACTGTTGATTTATGACATTGTTTTATTGTACAATAAAATATTGAATAATATTGTTCAAAATAAGATAGCCAAGCATAAACATGCTAAACCATTTCAGAAAAATAAAACGCTACCCGTGATTTTATTTTCAAATAATATAATAGAAATACTTAGCTACCAAAACTGAAATGATATTAGAAAATGTTATTTTTATATTTTATATTGTTTTCATTTAATTTAGTTAAGTAAAAGGAAAGGCCAAGTAAATGGCAAGCAATTCTTTCAGCAATATAGCAATTTTCAGGGTATAGAAAAAAAAGAAAAAGTATAAGAGTTTATGATAATATATCAATTTTATTCGTTATACATAATGTTTCATGACTAAAGATAAATATTTTATATTTTTAAAATAAAATAATAATCACCAGCCAGTAACTATTTCCTACCTTCATATATTACCAGTACCTATTTTCCATACCTCTATTCCTGTCGTTTTTTTCATAGATTACCTTATGACTTAATACTATATAATTTAATGGATACATTATCGTATGTTTTTTATTAAATCAATGATAAAAGTATATATCTATTTCGAATTATTCGTTGAAAGATGTTGGAATCGTTTCCTTTGCCTCTTATATAACTTTAAAGTAATTATATAATATTGCTTTATTTTGTAAATACAATTGTAAGGTATATTTACGTGTTTACTAATAGACATATTTTGAAAATATGTTTTGTCAATTGTGCTGTGAAGATGTCATTCGTTCAATTGTTGTTGTCAAATGCTAACATGTACGTGAGAGTTTAAATACAAAATATAAAATACAATAAATATATCAATTCTTTAAAAAAAATATATAAAAATTCAGTAAAATTATTCAAATAAATTGAAAACAACAATTGCGCGGACGTAAAATGAAACGATTGATAAAAAATCTAACTGTAAGTTAAAATTTGTAATATATAGTTGATAAATTGTAGTTAAAATACAAAATATATTAATTATAAATGAATATAATTTTCCATGGAATTCATTAAATTTAAGCGCATTACATGTTTAATTCAGAATTCAATGGCCGTATACATACGTATGATATACGTAAGTCAGTTGTGACGTTTCCGTTTGTAACTTATTTTTTTAAATATATTAACAACAGTGATTTGATTGTCTTAAGATGATGTTCATGTAGAAATTTTCTACAGAAGAAACACTGCTTTGTGTAACAGACAAGAGACTGTAAAGTGCAACACCTGTAATTGAGATTTATTCATTAAAATATATAGATAAATCTATTGAAAAAATTAATTGTTGTTTCTATTTAATTATAAGTGTATAATCTTTACATTCGTTCATATAATAAACCATTAAAATAATTAAAGTAAGATTGCCAACAACTGATATTTTTCAATACAACATAGTTCCCGCCTCTTGGTAAGTATATACCTTGGCCTGCAGACGTCTACACCAACAGTTACATCGTAGGTATGTTGCAGATACTTCTTGTAATATTAAGATAAATTTCCTACGATATGTGGTATATTAGGGGAAAGAAAATGCAGCAATAGTACTTTCTTTAATGTATTTTTTTGTAATTAGAATGCCAAACATGTTGACGGCTCACCTGATGACTACATGAACAGCACCACGAAAATATAAAGAGACATAACACCCGTGACCTCACTGTATCTCACCCATCAACAGAAGCACATTTTACAATCTTGTTTCTCTTAATATATTTTTTATGTACTAAAATATTTCGGTGAGCGAACTTCTCTACAGCACGATAGGGTTTTGACCTAGTGTAGATAGCCGCTAATCACATGTCTAGATTTGTGATTTTAATATATTTGTTTGTTTCGAAGCAGTTACCACAAACAAAAGACAAGTATTTCTGCATAGACATTTCCAAACGCCTCTTTAGTATAGTGTGCCAGAGGATAAAATACGTATTAATTTCATTGTACCATATATTAAATTCCCTAACACAGTGATTAATTGTACAGGTAGTCCCTATTTGTTTTTGGACTAACATATTGATAATCTCACACCCGCGAGTGTTTCGTAACAAAATCTAAAACCCGATGTATTAAAGTGTATTGGTGTGTTTTAGAATGTGTTTTTAGGTACTTCTTGGACGTGTTACGTGTTTGTGAGCTATAGAAAAGTAACGAACATTGAATCAAAAGTAAAGTACTTGTCTTTAAACTTACTACTACTATTTTCCGTATTTTAAATTAGTAACTTTTACATTTTTAATAAAGAAAAAAGAAATGTTAGCTTATAATTTAAAGCAATTCTGAATGACCAACTACACAAAGTGTACAACGTAATCATAGACTCGTCCCATCAAACGAACTAAGCGAGCTCCGCTGACACGACCCGGATATTACCTTCCCTGCAAACCTATTTACCCACGACTTATACTGTTAACCTGCAACATTTTATAACAGTTAGTCTCATAATTTTAATTAAAAAAATCCCTCTTATCCCCGATCACGATTTTTATCAAAAAATATAAAGAATTCCATAGAGTTGCAAAAACTCCATTGTGTGCGTTTAATGAGATAAATTAAATTAAATTATAGTGGCAACGGACAGGCGAAAAATTTTGCAACTAACGTGAAAAACAAAAGAGCAAAATGGGGTCGTAAAGTTTCTCTGTGTTCTAAGTTAACGAGATTCATAATCTGGTATACAATAATTGGAGACGCTCCCAACACTAAAGCTGAGTACACATAGATTTAATCGCCGCGCGGGCTCGCTAGGTGTCACGTACGTAATTGCTGCGTTCGCTATCTGATCGCGTCGTCGCGTTATTCGCCCACTTAGTGGATTTGTATGCTAAACTAGTTTTTGTGATGACTGGGCGAGCGATAACTTGAATGAGGTGCAACGCAAAACACACTACAGATGTACTTACGATAAGCGAAAAGTAAGGACCACTGTCACAAACGTCATGGTGTTAGGTTGATAAACGAGCCAGATTGTGGCACGATCTAGAGATATCCATTCATGTTTCAAGGCATAATGTACCCACCTAAAAAATAACGTGACTGTTATTTAAGCTGTAATAAGCAGATACGAGTATCGTCTTAATAACCAACTGTGTACAAGAATTTGTTAGTTTGTTTACTTTGATCAGTAGACCGTACTAATCTCAGGAGTTACTGATACGAATAAACAAAAAATAGTATCTAATGGATCGCTCATTTATAGAAGACATCTTATTAAAAATGGTGCTAGACGGGGAAAATGTGTCGCAAAGGAAGTTGCACGGGTTAATGTAATGCTAAAATGGCTACTTAACCTTAGCAATAATAGTATAGGCGGACATCAGTAAAATATGAAAAGTAGAAAATGAAATTATATCAGTTAATTCAGGAAATTTTCTCTGAGCTAATAACCACAGCGGTATCCGAGGGGGAAAGCATGGAGACTATGTGCCCTGCATGACTAATAAAAAGGCCAATAGATCTCACTACTAACAACGCAATTGCGTCTGTCCGTTTCACTGCCTACGTTTTCATTTAGAAGATTTGACCCAGAAGTTTTATCTCATAGATTATGTCTGTAGAACCGTGTGAACCAGCTCCAGCGGGTCACTAGATAAATAAAATAAAAATTAACAAGATTGTACGCAGTAAAGTATACATACCTACTTTACATCGACAAACATATCAATTCAATGCGTTTTCGTCATATTAATTAAAAATTATATCACATGGCTACCATTATTTTGCTTACTGTTTGTACATTTATTTTTATGTGATGTCATATTGTTTTAGTTACGCTTAAACTATTCTCTGTTTATAATGTCCAACGCGTGGCGATTCTCTAGATAGATACTTTATCGGCCCCACGTCGAGGCGCGAGAGACGAAAACGTGAGTGTACACTGGGGTTAACTTAATAGTAAATGACGGAACAAGCTACTCGCTAGTACTTTATGTATGATTTTGAAGCTTTAGGCAAATTTTATCTGTTACGTCTAGATTTCGGAACTACATACAAAAAAATGTGCGTGTGAGTCAAATTCTAATTTGTGTAAATAAAATAAGTAGGTACCAGACAGTAGTTTGGGTTGAACACCAGGTCACTTTTCAGGATCGCCGCGGACAACGTAAAGATCGCCACAATGATCGCCAACCTCCGATAGGTGATGGCACTTAAAGAAGAAGAAGGTACCACACACTTGTATAAAGTCACGTGGGTACCCTTGGCAAGTCTATTTTAGCCGACAAATAGCTGGTTTTGTAAACTGTTTCGAAGTGTGAGATATGACAGATGCTTTGTTACATTATATTTGACGGCCTCAGTGGTCTAGCGGTTTAGCACACCGCCTTACTTCCGATGGTCGCGGGTTCCGTTCCTCGTACGGTACAAATATTTGTATTCATGAGTATGAATATATAATATGTACAGGTAGTGGAAGATGGGGGAATTGCGGACGCATAAGCGGAGTTACAAATAAAATCCATACTATTAATAATAATCAGTATGTCTTCACTAATTATTAAACTATAGTCATTTATCTATAAAATCAACATTAATTATTTTAAGAAATCAATCAACATTTATTGAATTTAACCCGCGTCTGTATATCCCCCATCTTGCCCTATATATTTACGAAAAACGACATACCTATGCATTTATATCAGTTATCTAGTATCTACCCATAACACCAGTTTCAGGTAGCTTATTTTGGATCTAGATGGCGCTGTGTGAGTTGTCCTAAGATTATTATTATATTTACCCAGACGACTTTGTACAAAATCTAACTTTTGAATTGAAAATAATTTTTGGTGTTGAGTAGGTACCTACTCTTCAGAAGGTTGTCCCCATCCTGTAGAATAATAGATATAATAATAGTGTTTTTACCTTCTAAACATAAACGATAATATGTTTTTCACTCATTTTATACAAGATTGTGATCCTTTGAAATTTTAATGGGTAATTTTTACCTGACAGCTTCTGGAAAAGATCGCACTCAGTGGCTTGCTTTGGAAATGATTAATTAGTTAATCATGTTTCGGAAGAAGTTAATCAAAATTTCAAATAAGTTTAGTCATTATTTAGTACCTACTATTAGTAAGCCACTCAGTATTACCACTTCTATAATACTAAAATGCTAATAATAAAACTATTATAAGTAGCCTAAAAGTCCCCTTATGAAATTGCATATACCTATGCCTACCTCTTGTTTCCCATTACATAAAAAAATTGCTCCGTTTTTTTATGTAGTGGGAATGGCAAACAAGATAACGATCACCAGTTAGTAAGTAAAACAGTCTCCTATATACCCGCTAAATGAGAATAGTACCACGGGGGTACCGTGGTACCACTTTCCGGAGAATCCGATACCTTTTTACCTTCTAATTCAATAGGTAGGTACATCTCATACCAGAAAAACCTTACAAACAAAACTGCGGTTATTTAATAGCAGACGCTTGTTGATTATTTACTAACTAGATCTGACAGTAAAAAATATACTTATTTATTTGGTCCAATTAAAATACAACAAAACTAAACATAACAGAAAGAAGACCGAAAATAAAGGAATCTTAAAATTCAATTGTACATTTCAAAGTCGGCGTGAAATAAAATTTGTGGAATCTGGATTCCGTGTGAATAAAAATAAAATCAATGTGACACCGATAGATGTAGCCCATTATAATTAAATGTGGCTAAATCGATTGTTTTGTCCCTTTCCAGCGTATCCGAGGAATATATTTTTGTCGCTTTCAAGTCTGATCGACTGTCATTGCAAATAACAAAGGACTATAAAAAAAATACCTCAATCCCAGCCAATAATTGCAATCTGTAACGAACTAATTTCTATATTTTATATACCTAATTAGGCATCTTCGTGTCTAATATTTATAGTGACCGTATCAATATTAGAACTCTTTATTTTTTTTAATTATTACAAAGACCTCTAATACCGTATCCTAACTATTCACAAATCACGAAGAAGAGGGCTACGTCGGCGTCGCGTTAGTCTTTATATTGACTACTAGAATTAATTGTCCTGTCTCCTACAATATATTTGGTTCGAGCTATGCCTATTATTACCTAACGGTTTTCTGCCTAATCTACTATATTCATTGGTATCTACATTATACCTACTTTTTATTATTATTATTATTATCGTCGACTGACTGCCAAGAAGATTATATTTAATGGATGTGTCTATTTGTCAGTAATACAATGTATGTACCTACTGTAAGAAATTCGCTTTTATTTCATTATGACGACCCCGAGAACACATATTTTTCAATGGTCACGAGTTTAATTCCGTACAATACA